TGGGTCTGGATATCTCATTGGTTTCATAATGGCCGTGTTGGATCCCAAAATGTTGGGTTAATGCTGTGGTTCTGGATATCTGTTTCATAATGGCTGTTAAATTCAAAATCTTAAGGCTCATTATTGTAAGCCTTGCTTCACTACCCTCTATTGTTGGAGGGCGACTGTCTCCAACTGCCCAATAGTACCCTTCATGAGCCTCGATAGAGGCTGATCTTGAAACTGCTAGTATCAGTCATCGGCAAGTCCACTCAGCTACCATATTCACCTGTATCACAGTCCATCTCTTTAACCTGTGCTGCCGGAGGAGCTCGTTGCTGGGACTGTCCAGGTCTTCCAAGGATTTGAGCTAAATCCAGCCCGTTTAAACTCAGATGGATCGTAGGCCGGCCAACCTGAATATTTCTAACTGGTTGCATATGTTCCATTCAGGGAAGACCCGAATCTTCGTGCAGAGCAACAAACTAGATAGGTTCTACACTTACGCAGCCGATGAAAGTAGGATGCTGCCCGACTGATTGGGAGTTAGACTTCCACTGTCAAACCACAGCTGGTCATAAGTAGACTGCCCATGTAGGGGAAAACTCTCCATTTTCTCCACAACTGCTTTATTGCCAACTGGGAGTTGAGGGGGTGGAATGTTTGATGGAGCAAAATACCCAGGCAGGTGATTTGTTTGGTGGGGCTGATGGTAGGACCCCACCAGGTTCAGTAGCAGTGCCCCAAACTCCTCTGTGCAGCAATCACCAGATCACCATAATGCATAACATAGTTAACCAAAACAGAGTCATCCCTCGACCACACTCGGGCATCGATCAGCCTTCCATTGTATCTGTAGCGGATGAAAATTCCTCCAGTACAGCAACGGAACTTTTAAAATTGTGGTCAAAGATGATGTGAAATAATGTGGGAGCCAGAGGACATCCCTTTCATACTCCAAGGTGAACAGGGAATCGCTCTGGCTCTTGGCCACAGCTTTACCCAGGCCTGCCCACCATCATGAAAGTCATTGTGTTCATGGAGTCGGGGACTCCGAAAGTGTGAAGAACAGCCCAGAGCCCTGGCCTGTTGACGGTATCATTGGCCTTGACCAGGTCAATAAAGCAGAGATCTTGCGACCTATGCTGTAGCAGGACCACTACAGCCCTGGCCTGAAACCACATTGGGGCTCCGCAAGCCTTTCCTCAGGGTGCCTGGCAAGGCGATGTTGAATGAGGGTTGCTAGGATTTTTCCCGGTACATTGAAGAGCGAGATGCCCCTGTAGTTGTTGAAGTCTGTGCGGTCCTTAAAGAGGGGGAACCACCAGAGCATCCTTCCAATCCAGCGGGACTTGTCCTGTGGTCCATACTGTTGAGATGTCATGTAGGGCATCCTGCACACATGCCACCCTCCCTCAGAATTTCGCTTGGGAGATCATCTCTGCCCAGTGCTTTTCCTGGTCTCAGACGCTGGATCGCCCCTCCGTACATCCTCTACAGATGGTAACCCCAGCCAACCACTCGGAAGGGGCGACTACTTATGCCAATATTTGAGGCACAGTAGCCCCAGCAGGATCGTCCCCATCTTGCCCGATAATGTTTTCTGGGCTAAGGTATTTCCCCTCCCCCAAGATCTCAGATATGCTCTGCAAAACCTTCAGACACACACTAAGACACACGACAACGATCCCCCTTAACAGGCTGTTGGGGCAAGTGCTGTTAGAAAGCAGCGCCGATGAAGGTCGGCACAGCACACGAGGGGGTGAGTGGCCAGAACCACGCCCGGCCGCCTTTGTCTCCCCAGTGGCGATGCTTAGACATTGAGGCTGAGAAGAACAGGGGAGACCCAGGAGCCATTCAGATAATCGTCACTTGTTGACTATGAGCAGGTTGTCAGGTTGGTAGCACAACGCGCTAACCATTGCATTACCGCTCCCCACACACACATACACTCAAATGTCCCCTGTAACAGACTGTTGGGGCAAGTGCTGTTAGCAAGCACCTATGAATGCCGGCACAGCACACGAGGGGGTGAGTGGCCAACACCACGCTCGGCCGCCTTTGTCTCCCCAGTGGCAATGTTTACAAATCGCACTATGTACTCGTTTTGAGGCTGAGTCGACCTAGGGGAGACCCAGGACCGGTTCAGATAATTGTCACTGGTGTTGGCCGTGAGCGGGAATCGAACCCGGGTTGCCAGGTTCGTAGCGCAACAAAATAGTTCCACGGTTCAGTCTGCAAGTGCGAGTTCGCGTTTTGAGAAGATGTTACAAAAAGATGCGTGGAAGCTGGTTTGTAAATGTGGGGGTGTTCGTAAGTCGGTGTTAGTCGAGGCCTGCCTGTCCCGTCATAAAATAATTCGCAATACAACCCATATTCCTCAATCTGTCTACAGGGGGCACTGTTGCTCTATGTTCCCGTGTCTGGCCAGAAATTTGTCCCTGTTATGTAAAAATACTCAACACATTCCATAAACAACACTGGCCCTAATCGGGGGACAGGTACACAACGATGCGTGTAGCCACACTTCACCCCGCCACTCGCGACCTGCCGATGGAGTCATTGTGGACGCTGTGTATTGTCTTGATTTGAAGCTTTCGTGACTGCAGGAATCCATACTCTTTGGTTCTTTCGGTAAAGTCACGTAGGTAGAAATAAAATAAAACAAATCACGACGTTTCGATTGCAACACCAGCAATCATCATCAGGTGAGAAACCCACAGCAATAAAAAATTGCTGAAGTGGGAGAGAGAGCTGCCGTGGCAAGAGGTTATATAGGGAGGAGAGGGAGGAGGGGCAAGGGAGGAGAGAGAGAGAGAGGGGGGGTAAGGGGAGGGGAGCGCTGTGGGAGCGCTCGGGTAGGCCTCGGCAAGGTAAGGTAAAAGTTAAAAGGTAAAAACAACGAGCTTACCTTTTACCCTACCTTTTACCCTTACCCCATACAAATTACCCGATTACAGGGTAATTACTGGGGTACTACTACACATGGACAAGGTTTATAACGGTAAATGCTAGGTAGAGCGCTTTATTAATATAGAATACTTTCGATGATTCCAATTTTACACGTTTTCTATTAACTCACTCAGTCTGTTGTTGTTGTCGTCGTCGTATCCTCAAATCTTGCAACTGAATTTTTACCCACTTCCTAATGTGGTGTCGACTGCAAACTTTGTATACTTATATCATACTGATGACAATACTATATTATATAATTAAACAAATATATATTTCTTAACATTCTTTTTTATATGTTATGTTTCGGCTTGGGTCTAATTGTCCACGCTCAACTGACGTTGGCTGTAAATCACCACGGCCCCTTACGTCATGGCAAGCCTCGAGGCCACTTCCTGGAGTCGTGGAGTTCTGCCATTACTAGTACATTTAATAAAAGCGTGTTTTTTAAATAAAGTTTGTTTTAATATTACTTATTAAATGGAGGCCACGGACTGCGCCACGGAGCTTTTAGCGGTAAACAAGGCACCGTATTTACCGGGTAATACTTCACGCTACCTTTACCCTACCGGGTAATTCTTCCGAGCTACCTTTACCTACCGTTTACCTTACCCCTTGGCATGTCGACACCTTTACCTTTACCCTTTTACCCGGTAAAAAGGTTAAATTACCTTACCTTGCCGAGCACTACGCTCGGGGGAGCGAGGACGTGGGGCTGGGGGGGGGAAGTGGGCGGGGCTGGAAGTGGGAGGCCGAGAGAGCTGGGGATGCGTGGGGGGGAATTAACTCGAAATAAGTATAACCCGTAAAAACAAAGTTTTTCACTATAAATCCTTTATATGCGTGGCGCCTAGAGTCCTCTCGTCCTCTGGCTTGAGATGGCTGCCACCTATGGGTCAGATGATTGCATTGCACCATTAAGCAATTGGTAATTAAATATAATATTTTTGTCCTGAAAAGTGTAAAATTTAGAAAAAAAATTTCACGAACATTAATTGTCACGCACAACGAGTCTGTGTGGAAAATGTCAGCTCGATTGGATCACGGGAAGTGGGTTAAAAAACGACCGAAAGATTTGCACGGTCCTGAGCAAGCAAGCGAACTTAATATAAAGGATTTAAAAATAGACTAGTACCCAGCAGATATGATAGACAACAACCATAAAGCAGTTAATGTTTTACCTGGTTAATAACATCCTTCCAGTGATTGCTTAATTTGTATCCATCTTCTCGGTTGAAGTTAGGTCTATGTTTATATATCTGAATGGCTTCATAAACAAACCTTTGATAGTAGCCCGACGGTTTGCAGAGTACCTTGGTCTCTGAAAAAACAATATCGTTTGAACCGACCGCGCTAAAACAGTGATCAGCCACGGCAGAAGTATTGGTTCTACCGTGTTTCAGATCTGTCTTGTGTTCGCGGACACGGTCCGAGACATGCTGTTTAGTTTCCCCAATGTAACTGCTACCGCAGGTACAACTCAGTTTGTAAACTCCAGTATATTGCTGTGTATTGTGTCCGCATGTTGAAAACTGTATGCAGGCAAGACGACTCAATGAGTGTTCCAAGGTTTTACAGGATTGGTGGTTGCTGGCTGGGATGTTTAAGTACTTTTTTTCCCCCCCGCGTGTCAGGAAACCAAACCGAGGAGAACATCCAAACTCATTCATTAGGAGAATGCTTCCGAGTCCGCAACACACTTAATGCACTTGGCGTTTTATCTATTTATATTGTCTCAAATCTTTTACGCTTAATATCTTTGGATCTACGAAGCCTACCAAGTTAAAATGTTGTACACAGACTCGTCTCGCGTGACAATTCAAGATTTTATTTAATTTAAAAAAGCGGTCCGGGTCCCGGAGACCCTGGAACTATTCGTGCTTTTAACTTAATTAATACTCTTTGGTTCTAATTAAACTCAGACACCCCCCCCCCCCCCCCCCCATTTCCAATCACGAATGGTCGCGCCCAGCTACACGTGGAAACGTCTTGTCCAATCAAAGCGACTTTTGTTGGGAGCCTCTGGCCAATGAGAGGCGCGCTTACATCGCCCCCCGTTATGATGCCGGAGCGGCCGCTGTAGTTCCCTTAGAAGCGAGACCAATAATTAGAATATTGACAATAATTACCACTATTGCTATTCTTAACATCATAGTAATAATAGTAATAAATAGCATTCTCATTTCCTTTGCCACGCCCGTTCCGACGGGCTGAGGCCAACATGCTCATGCTGAAGTTTAGCGAGCAGGTGAGAACTGTGATTATGATTTAAAACTAAATGTCCTCATGTTATCGTTATTTTAATTGGCAAAATATTCTAATTATGATTGTTGATATAAATGCCTTGCCGTATTTTATACACTACAGTATCTAATGAACGCAACTACGATAATTATACGTGTTATACTGATTGCGTTATAAATGTAATTTCATTTCTTTGCAATCGGGGTGATTGTTATTCTAATTGTAATATACGTGCTGCATGTTGTCAACCTTCCATCACATAGACTGTTGTTTTGCAATGCGCATGCTTTCATTGTAGGGTTAAGGGTTGACATAGGCAAACCACCATAGTCGTCTCTTACAGGGTCATAAAACGGGTACAACTTTGTGCGAAGTAAGTGGTTGTTAAAGATGATCCCTGCTTTGGGAATGTGGAAGTTTCACTGGTGGAGATTAGCGCCGCACAATGCCCATAGGAGCATAGAGATCTTTTGTCAATCCACTGCTGGATGACAGCCTCCCCACACCCTGCTGGTTGTGGAGGCCATACTTCACCCCGGCAGGTCATTGCTGATTGGTAAAGGTGGGCACCATAGACGTACAGTAGAACTGGATATAAACACAATCTGTGTTGTGCATGGTGGCACCCATCCAGGCACAGTCCGAGCTCAGATCTGCTTGACTTTCGAGGTCCGACCAGATTGGGCACATTCCAAGTCCAGGTGATTTGTTCATAGTCATTGAGGGTTATAGTGGTACTGTTCTTAACAGTTAACATCTCGCGGAGGTCGTGGGTTCGATGCTGACCCTTACGCCTGTATATTTGGAGATTAGCAGCAACAAAGGGAGGGAGTAGGGTTAGCATTAATAAAGGGAAGGAATGTTAATAGTATGGAGCTGCAAGTCATATTATGCACGGGCATAATGACTTTGAAACCCCCCGCCCACCTCCTACGCATTCCACAAGTAGTGACTAATCCCATATCTGCATTTCCCATAAATATGTTAAATTCCTTTGATATGCAAATTCCTTTGTCAAGGCGCTCTTCTCCCTCCAACCCAGCTTAAATATACGCTGCCAAGCGTGGTGGTGTTCATTCAGACGCTGTCTTTCTGACAGACCTGTTCTTCACCTTCTACGTGACTTTACCGAAAGAACCAAGAAGATGGTTACATTACCTTGTTAAATGTCTTTACATTAACAACATTAACAAGCTACATGTCTCACTATCATAGCCGCTGCTCCCTTTTACTCAATGTGGCGGTGGCTCTCGTTTAATCGGCTGAATGTCTCACTGGCAGGGCCACCGTTGCGGTGGGTCTCTTGCGTTGACATGCTGATCTCTCACAGTGCAGCGGCCAATGCCGCAGCTTTTTGTTGCCTACGAGGTGGCGTTGTGCACGGTTCTCTGACACTGACATGCCAATCTTCTCATGAACACAGCCGCTGCTGGGGAGCTGTCTCACATTGACATGCTAATCTCTAATCCCTCGGTTTATCAGGCTCTCCGATCTTACATTTACATGCAAATTCCATCTCTAGCCCCGCCTACTTACCTTTGGGTTGCACCCATCTCAAACCTATATAACCTCTTGCTGCAGTAGCTCTGCCACTCTATTTCTCCTGCTTCAGCAGTTCGCCTGCTGTATTTTTCACCTGAAGACGATTGCTTGTGTTGCGATCGAAACGTGATTTTTATTTTTTCTATCTACGTGACTTTATCGAAAGACCCAACAGTACAAATTTATTAAAATTTATTTTTAGTTTACTTATGGATAGACCCCTAGAATGACAGACCCACAGACGAGCACAGAGATCCAGACACAACAACAATAACCGCCATTCGCCACGAAGTGGCGGTAACGTCACGACGGCGCTTGTTCCATGCTCTTTGCACCTTAAGGAGTTAAGGCCACGTGGCAAACGCCCGCTGGCAGGGGGTCATGGGACAGACCCAGGTGCCATGGGTTGACTGAGATGACTGGCAGATGCACCACCTTTGCCCTCTACTGTGCCAACTTGCTGTATTTTAGCCACCCAAGATGTTGGGTTAAAGCCATCGTTCTGGATATCTCATTGGATTCATAATGGCTGTGTCAAATTCATAATTTTAATGCTTGTTGCTTTCAACGTTGCTCCTCTGCCCTCTTGTTGCTGGAGGGCGACTACATCAAACTGCCCAATAGCATCCTTCATGAGCTTTCTCCACAGAGGCCAATCTTGACACTGCTGGTACCAGTCATCAACAAGTCAATTCTGCTCCATATTGTTTCATACCACGTGATTCCATCTCTTCTCTCGCCCGTGTCATGTCCGTTTAGCCCCCTCTATCCGGCAGAACAAAAGCTGTTTGACCATGTCGTGGCTGGGCATGCAGGCTACATGACCCAGTCAACGCAATCTTGCCTGCTGGAGGAGCTCACCGATGGGACTTTGCCCAGACCAGATAGTTTCCACACAGCATTACGCAACCAATGAAAATATAATGCCACTCGACTGATTCGGAGTGAGGACCTCTGCTGTCATACAGGAGCTAGTCATAAACACTCTCTTCATAACTGCCCCATCACTGATGGGGAGTTCAAGAGTGATGATTTAATGCTTTCGTGACTGCAGGGATTCATATTCTTGGTTCTTTCGGTAAAGTCACGTAGAAGGAAAACAATAAAATAATACAAATAAAACAATAAAAATTCTCACGACGTTTCGGCCACAACGCCAGCAGCCGTCCTTCACGTGAGGACGGCTGCTTGCGTTGTGGCCGAAACGTCGTGAGAGGCGTGGGGACAGCGCTTTGCCACCCGCCTCTGCCACAGAAAGTGATGTTCATCCCATGCCCTTTGGACCGGGATTCTTAAATAAAGTGCAAAACTAAAAATGAATGTGCAGGTCAGTGGCGCAGTAACGACATTACAGTATCAGCTCGGGGGGGTGCGGCAATCGGTCAGGTGGAGCCCCAATATTTAATTTGTTTCATAAAGTTGTGCCTCGGCTATTTTATATCACGGCTCCTGTTGCCCTAATCGCATTATCGTTATCCTCACGGTCTCAAACGTTTAACTCTGTAGGGGCGCTCCGTTTTAAATAACTTTTGTTCTTTTACACTTGTTGGAAACGTACCTCATGGTGGTTGTCAAGGGCGCCCCAACTCTTAGCTTTGGCCACCAGGGGGGTGGGACAAGGCACCCCCTGCCTCCCATGTTCGTTACATTACTGCTGCGGGTATTTTTTTGTGTGCAGTCATTAATAACCGAGCCGAAACCAGGATCTCCGTAGTTAGTGCCAACTTAGTGCTCTGACCATGAGGCCATCCGGCACCTTCTCTGTACATATATTGTTTATCTCTCGCTATAAAACCATGGTCTTGTGTTTTACTGTATTTAATTTTAGGGTGACCTCCCCACCCGCATGGTAAACATTCCCCTCCCCTTTTTACTCCTCATACACAGCCCCCCCCCTCCCCCATGTTACAAAAAAAGGAATGTTTTACCGGCACCATTCTCCCATGTAAACGAAGCAGTAGTTTCTCTCAACCCCCCCCCCTGTCTTCCCCCCCTCCATCAACCAGGACGCGTTGGGTATATGTGGCCTGGCGGATATTCGCGTGCGTTTTTTTTGTTGCCCAACGTTCTGAAACGGCACTTCGTTCTTGTGTACAGCAAAATCTTATTTTTAAACAGCCTTGTTGAAAACGCATCGTCGATCTGTGCGTGGAAAGGATGCTGGGGGTGTTTTTTAATTACTCACTTTTATTTAACTTGCCCTGTTGTCTGTTTATATTCTTTCAAATATTTGACGCTTAATATCTTCGGATCTATGGAGCCTAACGAGCTGAAATGTTGCACACAGACTTGTCTCGCGTGCCATTTCAAGATTTGATTTAAAGATCCCGTCCTGTTCCCGCCGATCTGGGGCATCTTCGTGTTTTTTTACTCAAAATTTGTATTGCACTATTTCAAATACATGATAATTATCCAGACAATAATGAACTATTGTTATTATCTGGATTGAGATCTACGAATGAATATGTACATATACTGCTCATTTTTTCAATTTTAATACCAGAATAAAACTCTTAAACTATACATGAAGAAATATTTTTATTTATTTTAAAGTGTTTCACAAATCTAATATGGTTAATTCTGAGGTCAAGGTAATTTAGATGCAATTGATTTTACAGATATTGGAATTCAAAGCATTCAACCAATTACCGTTAAATCTGATATAAATTTTGGATATGGATCAATTGAAAGACGAAGGCTACTTTTCTTTCTTTTCTGGACTTCAACATTACGTAACCTTACTGTATGAAAATGACCAGAACTTACGTTCAAGTCGTATTTAAGTAAATGAGAAATGAGACTAAAACGTATTTTCAGTCAAAAAGTCAAAAGTAAATTATTTTGACCCCTGCATTAATCCAATTTTATGTGGTGAATAAAGTGTGTGGCTTCCATGATGAAAATTAAACATATCGAAAGGAAACCATCCAATTTTATTGAGCACATCAAATTTGATTAATTCTGTGGTAAAAATAATGTATTTTATACTTTTGAGTGCAAATAAAATATGTGCATTGAAAAACTTGTTTTTTTTCCTTTTTTTGGGCCACGTGCGTTGAATCAGGAAGAGGTCGGACAAGCTCCCCTCGTGACGTGTGAGACTTCATGTTGTGAAGCGGCATCCCCGTGACGTGCACAAGTGGTGGATGTGCACGAGTAGCGACCTCTCGCTGGGGAGGTTATCTAACCGTAACATCATCCCGCTGGTCAGTGCGGATTGATGACAGGTGGGAGGTGAGTGGTGGGTGGTGGGGGTACATGGCTGGTCCAGATATCACCGCTCTGATAAGCCAAGGTCAGAAAATCGAACCCCGGTTGCCTGCTTTGTAGTTCAAGGGCACTTACCACTGCGCTACCGCTCCACCGTTCTACGCCCATTGACACGGATGAAATCAAATTGATGGGTGACCGGTGCTGTTATAGATTTTGGGACATCCCCCGTTGTATCTACAGTTCCTTGCC